AAAAACATTTTTCCCAAGCATTTTATTTCAATCCCTGTTACACAATTAAAACCTCCATTTCCCAATGTAGATCCCAAAGCCTGGTTGAACAGATAAAGAAACTGAGAATAAGGGGTTAACCTACCCAAAGTCACCCAGGGGGAGTTTGCTGGAGTCCAGGCAAAGTACTCACCTACTACACTACACTCATATACCATTGTCACATTTTGATGACCCGGAATCTCCAAGTACTAACATCCAACTTATGTGGCCCCTCCTAACCTGCCCCAACCTGTCTCCCTTTTCTCGTGTCCCTATTGCCTACGTCTTGAAAGTCCATTTAAAACACTCAAGGCTGGCACTGAATGTATATTCTCAGCGTAGAGAAGAGATAAAGAGATAAAGAGATAAAGTCTAATAAAAGGGCACAGTTTAGTTAACAGCTGTGACCTATTTGTCAAAAATACTTTGTTTTTAGCTGCCTGAGGTGGTTTTTTTTTTTTTTTTTTTTACGTTGGTGTTGCCTGCAATTCCATCAATGTGTTAGTTGTATGCAAAGGTTTTTTAAAAATGACACTATTTCTGCATTGTGTTATTCATATTATAATGTAAATTACTTTAGTTGGATAGCTTTCCTTGTGACAGGTCTCTTTGAAATTGGTGAATGGGTCCTTAAAGGACTAAAGTCCTTGGAACAAAGGGACAAGTACTAGGGTCAGGTGTGCAAAATGAATGAAGAAAAACTCTTCTTTCTCCATTGTCCTCTGCTCCCAGAATATGAATTCAAGCTATTACATTAAGGGCTAAATGGATTAATAGAGACCTCTGGTCCACATTTGAAAAGTTCTGGGAACTACTTAATCCTAGGGAGAGAAATTAAACAGAAAATTATAATATAATTTTATATACAGCACTTATGCTGTAATTAAAGGTATTCTGAGATAATTTTGTGAAAACATTACTATCATTAAAAAAGAGCATTATTTCTCCAGAGTTGAGCTCCAAATAGATACCGCGCCAAAAAACTGCATAGCATTCTCTATTGAAATGTTAGGGGCGGCCCTTATAAAAAATATCTTATGGGATCATTTAAAAATAATAAATATGGCTAGCTAAAAAATAAACATTATACATTTAAATAAACATTATCAAATTCTCCATATTAATTTTCATATATATATATGCACATATTGTTTGACATTTTGTAATAATATAACTCACAGAACGGTAGTATGGGTAGGGTCTATGCCAAATCATATTTTGCACTGTTGCACTGTTAAATTTATTAGACAAATCACCTTTTCTCTGAACCAAAGGAGAGCAGAAAATATTGGTTTTATAGAAAAAAATCAAAGTTGATCTTTAAATTTCTGTAGAATAGACGAGTTAAACCTGGATGAAGAGAATGCAATAGACATGTGAAGGTGCACTGGCTACATAGTTAAATTCTGTTTTTAGGGAAAATCCCCTGTAAAATCATCCACTGATTACACAGGAATCATGTCTGCACATGCTTTGTACTGCTCTTACTAAGTATAAATTCTCTGTCTTCAAATTTCCTCGTATGCTTAAAATATTCTTAGATAGACAGGAAGTTAATAGCTATTGCTCTACAGATGCTTTCAAAGTGAGTTACTAAGGAGATTTTTAAAAATCTAGTAAGAATTGTTTACAACTATTAGTGCAAAAACCTTGAAAACTTCAGGGAGGCAATGCCAGTTAAAATGTGGCATGTGTAATTAAAAAAACACTTCACTAACATAAAATTAGATCCCACCAAAGTTTCTTAATAGCCTCACTGAAATTTCAGGAATATAGCTCAGAAGTACAGCTTCTGCTCCACCTCTGCTGAGGTTTTGAATTCGATTTTACTTTTCTTGAATTCGAGAATTAGATTATATATGAATACTAGTTTCCATGACTCAGTGGTCTTGTGCACTTAGGTAGATTACTTAACCTTTCGGTATCTTAGTTCTCTCATTTGTTAAGTTGTTTTTGTCAAGAATTAGACCTAATGTATTAAAGCACATAGCTCAAGAGCGAGCCTTAAGTTAATACTTGTTATCAAATAAGGAAGAAAAGAGTAGGAATATAAGCTATATTTATATTTAATTATTTATGAATAAAAAGAATGATGCTGTCAAAAATTTTAATCTAAGAAACCATTAGTATGAAAATTAATAATAGCTATGTTTACCCTTGACTGAAAAAGTATCTTCTGTAATTTTCTTTTTGATCCATGACAGAGGAAGATCAAGTTAAGGATGATGGGGAGATAGATGATGCAGCGAAGATAGTTGTACATCAGTAAATAATTTGTAGTGTAATGAAACAGAGTTGTGTTTTGAACCCTTAAAAAAGTTGTGCCTTAATGGCTTAAATAAACTTTTAGTTAGGCTGAATGCCTAACTTCAGTAATAGAAAACATAATGATAAGTATTTGATATTCAAGTGTTAGGATATTATAAACTGTAAGCACCTTGTAAAGGTGTAAGATCATCTAGTATCGAAACAATGTGTCCATTTTTTAATGACATCATTCATTGTGGCTTTTATTAGTGGCTAAGACCCCAATAGGGGAAGTCAACTTATTCAGTTACCTAGAAGTAAATTTTACAAGCAGCTCACCTTAGAGCAGTAGTTTTCAAACTTTGGTCTACACCAGAATCACCTGGTAGGTTTGTTAAAATACAGGCACCCCACCCCCTGAATTCTGATTAAGTAGGCGGGCTAGAAAATTGCATTTCTAGAAGTCCTCAGATGATGATGCCACTGGTCTGGGACTACACTTTGAAAATCACTTCGTTATGGAGTATTTACGAGATTATATTGCTTAATATAATTAGCTCTTTGCCAAGATTTAAAATTTTTCTAACTTAAGATAATTGATAACAAAGTTATAAAACTTTGAAGATTCAAGAATTCATGTATTTATGAATTGGAATGGGATCAAAACTTGAAAAATCTCTGGAGCCATGCCTATCGTGTTCCATGGTCCATCCTCCTGTAGCAAATTTTTGTCAGTATCTATAACAAGAATCACTGGTATTGTTTCTAAGGAACTTGTTTTTATTAAATAAACAATGTAGATCATACAATTGACCCCCCTTCCCTGTCTGCCTGTGCTGTTTTCTAGGAAAACACAGGCACCATATATGTTTCACATGTAGAAGTTATATAGGATCTCACACTATTTTGTTCACAAACTTTACTTCTAGTGTTACTGCTTTTTGCCTTGACTCATCCATCTCTCCATTGATAATATTATTGAGAGTGTTCTATGTATTTTAAAATATCATCTATATTCTTTCCTAAAGTATATTGGGAGATAAACAAATAAAACAAATTTGGTGTTAGTTGAAGACATATTCCTATAAGTTTTAATATCTTATTTTATAGGGCTACATGCCTTGATTTTTGGATTCTGTAAAATGAATAAATGAGACACTGGAGTAGAAAAGATGCCACAAAAGACCAAGTGCATCTATTTAGCCCTAAGAAGAAATAAAACAAAGTCCGGGAAGACACAGATATCATTTCTGACATCAAGTTCAAAAGGTTAGAAACGTATCTGAAGTAGTATATCACTCCAAAACTATTTTCTATGACATCCACTGAACCTATTTGAAGTTATTCATATTTTTATTTTAGAAAAAAAATTCTATAAGTTTAGGGCCTGCTTAGTAAAGGCAAGTCTGTTTTTATTTGTCTTGAATTTACCTTTCTCTAGCTTTAGAGCTATTTCATTTCCAGCACACCAGAGTTCCATGATGAACAATTCTACATTCACCATGTGAGTATTCATGTAATTTGAGGAAGAGATTGGTGGTTTGGAAGACGATATGATGTAGGAATCTCTCTCTGCCTGTTCTGGGTTGTACAGTGGGGAAACTAGACACCGGTGCTACCTACCACATATGCAGAGCCAACCTAGCCAGTTGTGCTTTACTTAATAAGTCTTTTTTAAAAAAAAAATTAAAATGTTTTTATATATTTCTGAGAGAGAGAGACAGTGTGAGCAGGGGAGGGTCAGAGAGAGAGGGAGACACAGACTCTGAAGCAGGCTCCAGGCTCTAAGCTAGCTGTCAGCACAGAGTCCGATGCAGGGCTCAAACCCACGAACCGTGAGATCATGACCTGAGCCGAAGTCAGACGCTCAACCGACTGAACCACCCAGGCATCCCTACTTAATAAGTCTTGAGTTCATCAAAGAATGGAGTATGATGAAGAGAAACTGAAGGTTAAGTAGGTAAGGATAAAATAGACCTACGTGTATAAAAATCCAAACTGCTCTTCTCTAATACACAGATATACAGACCATAAGTATTGCATGGCTGCAGTGATTACATTACTAAATCACAGAACACATAATAAAATGTTTCTATTTCCATTCTCTTATTAAATCTTAAATACGTATATCAGAGAAAAGTCTCTTCATGACTTTGACCAGGAATGATATCATGAATCTAAAAATGTTTTGAAAATATAAGGGCAGTGAAGGAAGAGTCTCCCCTGGTAAATCTATACCTCAACTTATTCCCAAAAAGTAGCTCAAAAAGATTCTCGATAAAAAACCTTTTGAATTCCTTATAACAGCTCATGTGTATGTATTTTATTCTAATAACTCATTAATAAGCCAGATTCAACTAAAATACTATGAAATTGAAAAAAAAATTCCTAGGTATGGGAAATCCACAGCTATTCTTCCTAAACAATTTTGAGGGTATTAGGGCCTTTTAGATTTTATAAAATAAAAAATTCTAAAAGGTTAGTTCTTCATATCATTTAAGATTTTCGTTTCTTTAATCTCCTATATTATACAATGATTTTTTTTGATAAGACAATTTCTATCCTTAAAAGTTGAAATGTAAACACATTATAAATTTTAGCATTTAATAATAATCATGGGGCAACTGCATTCTATGTTCGTGTCTAACTAATCTGAGTCCAGAAGCTGAAGAGAATCTAACGGTTTCATATGATTGATTATTTTACAACTTTTAAAAAGAAAAATGTCTTGCCTTTGAATGGTAATCTTGCTCCAGTCTGGGGTCTGATCCGGCTACCTGTTTGTATTTGTTAATTTTCATTTGGCGATTTCTCTCCTCTATATCCATAGCACCTATCGAGTAGAAAAAAACCCATAAAATTAATGTTCAGTTCTTATTTCTGAGCCCCACTTACAGGATGTATAATAGAAGAAATGCTAGGCTGATATACTACTTTCATTCAAGGTAGTACATACAAATTAAATGTCATATATTATTTCTTGAATTCATTTAAAGTATTCAATTTGGTGAATAAAAGCATGATGACTAAGTATGTAAAAAAAAAGTTTTAATCTGAATAAAATGTAAATGAATTTTAACAGAACAACCAATCTCAACTTGAGAGAAAACACTTCTGGTACATGTATGCCCAGGAGAATATATTTGATAGCACATAAACTTGACAACAATAATACTAGAAAAACTTTAGCTTATAACTCATGAGGATTTGCCTTTATTTACTGAAAAATAGTTGTAAGCCTAATTGGTTTCAAATACAATTTTACAGTTGTGTTCAGAAACCATTATCATAAACTAGCCCATGTGTTAAAGCAGGCTGCCCAGGCTTACATATGGATCTTTGGAACATGAATTTTCTAGAACTAGGACCAAGAAAGAAGCACTTGGAATAATACTCCTGAGAACATACCATGCCAGTAAAGGCACTGAAATCATTTCAGAAAAAAAAAACAAACAAAAACATGGGAGGAGGTGAGAAAGCGAGATGGTAAGCCTATTATAAAATAAGATTAGTAGTCTCTATAACAGGTCCTACCTACAAACACATCAATTGTAGACATCAAGAGGGTCTTTAAAAACTTTGCTTAGAACAAGAACTAAATGCAGTTAGCAAATCTTAGCAAACATGAAAAAAAATGTCCTTCAGGTATATTTATAGCTTTTATTAAAGAGATTTTATAGAAAAATACAATTTCTCATAAATATGCATAATGGAAAAACAAAATCTCAATTGTATACTACAAATCTACAAACTGGGAAAGATAATCACAGCTTACTGGGCTCAAATGGGTAACTACAACAAACTACTTTGTGTAAATTCATAACTACTGAGTGTGGGTAGAAATGTACACATCCACACATATGCCTTTTGCTTACCATCATAACTTTTTAGAAACTGCAGTAAAGTGTCCCCATTCATAAGTAAGTATTTTTATAGTCATCCTGAAACAAATCTCATTCTATATCAGATAATTCTTGTTAGTAACAAATTCTGAGTAAAAACCTACTAAATTAAAACAAGATACAAAAAGAAAAACCTCCAAAAAGGAGTAATAAAATCTTAAATAAAAGAATGTATCTTGAATAAAAGAGTCTATACCCCATGGCCTCTAAGTATAACAGCAAATTTAAGTTAACCATTCAATAAAGTGAGCCAAATTGTTCTTTTTAAGAGTCTTGTTTTAATAATGATTTGATTAATTCTGTGCCAAATTATAAAATAGGGAATAGAAGAATCATGTTAATATAAATTGAATGAAACATAAAATCAAGTGAGTGCCTCCATGATATGAATGTGAAATACAGTCAAGTATAAATGTCTACTTCTCTATTAAAATACAACTCTGGGATTGTTTGTACCTCCAGAGATATTCTCAGGAAAATATATTTATTTTCTTCAAGGGCAAAGGAAAAAAAAAGCCATCCTCGCATCAAAAAAAATTATGTGTACATAAAGAATATTAACTAAATTGAATGGGAAGTTCTTTTAAAAAGTTTCATTTTGATATCACAGTAGCAAGATAGTATATTAATACAAATAGCACCAATAGACAAAGAAATTAAAACACATTTTACATATACATATATAAATTTATGTACATACATATAGATATACACATACATACATACATATATATACATTTTCTAATATTTAGACTATTTTCTGGACATCAGCCTTCTATGAAACTACATTAAACTCTTTTTAATTCCTAGGTAGTAGTGTGATATAACCCGGCAGGAGTTGACAGGCTTGTTCTGTAAAGGGCCCAAAAATAAATATCTTAGACTTTGCAGATCATATGTTTTCTGTCACAACTCTGCGATTGTAACATGAAAGCAGGTATAGACTGTGTACACACAAATGAGTGGCAATGTTCTATTAAAATCTTATTTACAAAGCAGGCAGAGGGCCAGATTTGGTCTGTGGGCCATGGTTTGCTGATCCCTGCATTAAAGCATAATGCTTTGTTTTTTTTAAAGTCACACTGATTTAATATTGCTTTGTAAAAGAGCCTTTCTCCTCAGTAAAAGTTTAAAGATCTTGTAGAATCAGGTTTTTGGAACATCACTTATGTTTAACAGATCATTGAGGGGTCTAAGAAGAATATTAATCTGTATTTGTTCTATGTAAACAAAGATGCAAGTAGAGTGATATAATTATTTAAATATGTTATCAACTAAATTCCAATCGCAAACACATCTCTTCTCCAGACTCAATTATCATCTATAGATAGTCCTTAAACGAAAAAAATTCTTTGTTAGAGCCTTAACTAATAATCTCTCAAGTGACTACCTTAGTGGATATACAGTCAAGAAACTTGGATAAATATATTTTTAGCTTAGAACTTTAAATTCTCCCAGGAGGCTAATCCTTAGGACAAACCAGACATTCCTCTCTCCAAAACTATTTGGCTCCTATGACGTGTTCCATTCCTTTTCTACATTTTTATCAACCTCATCTCACTTCACAAACAATAATATCCTTAGAGAGAAAAGCATCCTACTGGTAAAGAGATCCATTATAGGAAACATAAAACTGTCTTCTGCTGAAACTTCCCAAATAATTAATAACAACATAAAGGGTAGCTTTAACAAATCTAATTGATTTTCATAAAATATATAGAGATATAATAAACGTAATCTGAACATAAAATATTATCTGAGACAATTTCTGAAGTTAAAGAAGTATATTATGCGTATAGTAGAAACATATTTTTAAAAAATTATACTTTGCCGAACTATCAAGGAAAGGAAAAAAATTACTTTTGGTAACTATCGTATTGAACCCTAGTTTACAAGACTTTTCTTGTAAGGAAATACAAAGTCGAGAGGCACAAGACGAAACAAAAGAAGATTTACAGACTGCAATGGTGACAATGACAGAATTCACATATTCCAAATGAACAAAGCTTAAAAGGGCCAAATGCTAAAATCAGCATTTAGTTATGTACCAAATGAATGCAATAAAGAAAAAGGTACAACCAGTGTATGTAGCTATTTGCTTTCTTCTTGGTGACAATCGCACAGGAGAAAGCATGGTTATGTGTCTCTATTTTCTAGTTTCAGTAGGGTAGACTACAAAAACAACTTACTGATACCTTTCACTAGTCAGAAGAATATGAAGATAAATTGTTAAAAATGACTACATAAGATATAATGAGATAAATAAGAATAAATTAAAATATATATGAGATAAGTGAAAATGTAGTATTTTGTTACATTATTATTTTATTTTCAAATGCAGAGGAATTCAAAAAACATTGTCCTTGATTTTACTGAATATCACTGTTCTTTCAATATCCTTTAACTGTGAAAAAACTTATTTTTCAGACTGACAGTCATTGACAACTATTGATTAAAAAAACTGATGGTCATTTATAGGAATGTTTTCCAAAGTACCTGATGTACAATGATAAAAAAGTAAACTGCTTCAAAACACTACATATTTGGTGCTGTGTATCAAAAGGCTTTACAATGGTTATATTTTTGAACTTGAAATTTTACATCCCAGGATTGTTCCTAAAGAAATAAATTAATGTGCAGGATATATATACATATAGATTTACTGCCACGTTGTTTGAAAATTGCAAAGGCCTGGGGAAAAAAACTCTAAATGTCCGACAGTAGGGGTTAGTGAATTGCACTTGTGGTTTATCTATAAGATAAATGCATCCATGAAATAATGCATATGGTGTGTGTGTGCATTCACATATGTAAATGTAAAGACATTGCCATTAGTAATTATAAAACATGAAATGGTGATATAGTACTATAGTTTCTGAATTATAATTTTAAAAACTGTATATATATATATTCATAAAAATATATATACATATAACCTACACAAAAGACAAAAAGATAGAAAAAAATGAAGATTTCTATACCACAATGTTAGCAGGTATCAATGGTTGTTGAAATTAAGTGCTATTGTTTTCTTATTTGGGTTAATATATAGTTTATGAAAAGTCTACATGGCTATATGCTATACAGAAAAAATATTTTAAAATACACAAGGCAAAATACTTTGGTGAAAAAGGACAAATTATTCAGTTTGAAATTCTATATTTTTGTAATGATTTGATAAAAATGCTTTGGAAACAAATGTTAAATATTTTTTAATGTAAATATACAGCCATTCATTGCTAAATTTATCTTAAGGATATATATTTATTTTTAAATAAAAGCATTTGGGTGTTTTGATTGAAAGTGGTATATAATGAGAAATACTTCTAAATATAATAAAGTACAGATCTCTCCAATTTTTATGAGTATTAAAACAAAAAGTGATCCAGCAGGTTTGAAAATTTTCCTTATCAGTTTTTTCCAAGGTGGGACTTAAGAAACTATTCAACAAAATTTTTCAGTTACTTTAAAATGATTTCTTCATAATTGCTTGCCTATAATACATTTTTATTTCTTATACTAAAACTTTATGATATACCAGAAACTTATAAAAAGTACATTTCTGTTAGCTAAATTCTTTGTTAAAATAGACGTAATGCAGAAAATAACAAACACTGGAACAAGTTAAATTCTAAAAGTATGGAAATAAATATTGGGATAAAAATGATAAATTATGTACTAAATTATTTCTGCATCAATACTGGGGCAAATGGAAGCATTTAAAAAAATTTTTTAATGTTTCTTTATTTTTGTGAGAGAGACAGAGAGATAGCGTCAGTTGGGGACAGAAAGTGAGAGAGGGAGACACAGAATCCGAAGCAGGCTCCAGGCTCTGAGCTGTCAGCACAGAGCCTGATGTGGGGCATGAACCATGAGATCATGACCTGAGCCAAAGTCTGACGCCCAACCAACTGAGCCACCCAGGTGCCCT